TCATTTCGCCACAGATACTCCACTCTTAATCGTGTGACTGTGAAATGTTTGCTTTACATTTTAAATACACACATGCACCCATTTAGCAGAAGAAAATCCACATAGCAGAAAACAAAAAAAAACGATTTTGTTGTTGGGTCATAAATTCATTGCTCACTCATTTTCACGCGCAGCCAGCAATTGTAACAGCAACAGCAACGACAACAAAGACAGCAACAGCAATAGCATTGCCTCGCCTTCGCTTGTGCTCAATTTGATATTGTAGTTGTTATTGTAATTGAGGTTGAGAGCATAGTCTTAAATAGTTGCTCTGCAGCGCTCTGTTGCCCGATTGCGTTGCTTCCTTTAAATTGGCTTTTATTTAGTTGAACTGTAGTTGTTCTTACTCAAGCCGCTACAGCTTCTGCTAATCTTATAGTTGTTGCTGTTGCTACACTTATTGTCACYGTGCAGTTGAGCTCTTGTGCTCATTTCTCTCGACCAGGCCAAGGAGGGCCAGCGTCAAAGCCATTACATCGGTATGTATGTATATATTTACATGCCAACAACAACAACAACAGCAACAAATGTAAGGAGGCGCGGGGATATGCATGCGCAAATGAAACACCCCACACACGTTAAAAAGCAGAGCAGGGCAAAAATGACAAGAACAACAAAAACAGCTATTATAGCACGCAACACTCAGCGCCAAGTGGTGGTGGCAGCAATAACCGCAATAACAATAGTAACAACAAAAGCACTGGGTTTTATTAGGCAGTTMGTCAGTAGTTGCTCGCCATATGCGAGTAACAGTGTCGGCGGCGGCAACGACGTCGACAGCGACGACTACAGTGAAAATAGCTGCTGTTTTTTTTTTGTTTTTTTTTTTTTACTAATTTTTCTACGTTATTTTTTTATTTTTGTTTTATTGAGTGAGTGTGACTGACTGACTGGTTCAGCAACGTCCACCGTTCAACGTCTCTCTGCGTGCGACTCACGACCTCAGCTGTTGTTGGTTTATTCGTTCGTTCACTCATACGCTGGTTCGTTCGCCCCTCGCAAGTACATGCACACATATTTACAAATATGCATGTATGCGGATATGTTTGTATATACATATGCACTTGTRTTGRTGTGTATCTGTGTTAATTTTATACAACGCTGCTTGATTTACTGATTTGCTCAATGCTCAGCGTCGTCGTCGTGTTGAGGCGCATGTCAGCGCAGCTGTCGACGTCGCMGTTGGCGTCCACTTTCAGTTGGCCACCAAACCAGCAGCGTTGGCTCAGCTGCTGCTGCTATTGCTACAGACAGCATTTTTTCGTTCGTTTCCAACAGACAAGTCAGTCGTACGGTAACTTTCAAGCGAGGTGGATCGTTTTAGCGCGGTTAGTAGAGACTCCAAACGGCATGGATAGATGAACTTTTATTATTTTTTGTGTACCTCTACCTGCCTCTGCGTACTACCACACATTTTAGTGCGAACACCAACCAACCAACAACCAATCAGCCAGCCAGCAAGCAAGCCAAGACACCACCAAACACCTCGTTCGCCCCCACAAAGCAACAGTAAATATACGCGTGTATGTATTCATGTGTATACACACACATACACGAAATAGAAAATACCACAGCAGGAGCAGTAGTTGGTACATACAAACAGCACACGAATATAAAATAATTACGTATATATATAAATATTTGGTATGTAGTACATACACGCTCGCCAGTTGTGTAGTGACCTGACAGCCTCAAAAGCAGCGTGCGAGCTCATCGAGAGCAGTCAACAGCAACAGCAAAAAAAAAGAAGAAAAGTAGCAAAAATTTACAAATTGGGTGTAGAGTTTTTCGGCTAACGAGCATGTATTAAAAATGTGGAATTTATGAAAAGAATTTACAACAACGTCAAACAAAACGGTGTTATAAGTAAATCAGAATCAAGCATAAACTATAATATTGCAAAAGCTAATCGCGCTTAAAGCAAACTGACGGTCCGCGAACGCGATGAAAATATCGAAAGCAGCGAAACAATATACATACTTGTATGTGTGTGTGTAATAAAAAGGTACAAATTGTTTCATGAAGAGTGCAAAGAGATTTCGAAACATAATTAAAAAATTTTTCAAATACACAAAAGTAGTTGAAGTGACAAGTAATTATATAAAAYATTWTATATACATATAAAAAATTGGTACACATGCCACAGAACAAGTCTTACCCTGGCAGAAAGTGTTGAAAAACCTTAAACAAATATACTAAAAATCATATGCAARTATAAACAAAAGCTAAACATGAAAATTTATTTGTGAAAAGCAAAAACAAYTCGTTTTAAAAATATTCAATAAAGAAAATAATTTTGTTAACACACAACTAGTGACAAACAAAAAGTATTAGTGACAAAATARAATTTAACAAAAAAGTTTAGTGACAAAATAAACTTTAACAAAAACTAAGAAACAACATAGTTTCGAATTATGTTCTAGCAATAAAAACCAAACCAACAATTGTGAGCAATAAAAAATTTATGAAAAACGGGCAGAAAAATAGAAACAAAAATTTTGTGAGAAGTGCTTTTTTATGAAGAATTACTGAAAAAACTCGCTTGATTAATGAAGTAAAAAGCGTTGAAAAGTGCAAATTTATGTATAAAAATTTTTTAAATTCTAAAATAAATATAATACACTTGTGTGACTTACAGAACCAACTAAAGGAGAAAGTGACATGAGAAAAGCTAGCGAAAGAATATTTTGAAATAATTTTTACAATAACTAAAGATAGATAATGTWTAAACCTATTTAAACAGCTGAAAAAAAAAMAAAAATTAAARCAAGTTWGCGTCTGTAAAACCAAATACTCCAGTGGTAAAACATAAATTTAAAGTGTATGTGCTTAATAACAAATTAAATTTTACTAAAAATAATTAACCAATTTTAATTATTTAAACGCATTCGTGCAGTACTCATATATTTTTGTGCAAAATTGTCGCCAACGACGACCATAAAATGTTTGATCCATTTGTTAAAATCAAGAAAAAGCGAAATCTAAATGTTGTTGATATCTTAGACAGTGTCGCGGGTGAACTGGAGCTGGCCATCGCGCCGCCAGAGCAGGCGGTGATTGAGCAGGTTATTGCTGAAGACGCAGTGGTAGTGGTGGAAGAAGCGGAACAACAACCGCAACAACAACAGCAACAGCAGCAAGTGAAGCAACAATTGTTGCACACTAACGGAGAGCAGCGAGTGCAACAACCGCTAGAACAGCAGCAGCAACAACAACAGGAGCTAGARCCGAATGCCAATTGTTACTGTGTAAGTGGTGCAGCATTAATTGGTGCAGGAGCAACAGCTGCGGGCGCAAGCGCAAGCGCCAATACCGTAGCTAGCCCCGCAATATCGCCCACAACCACAGACACCGTTGCCACAATAGCGACAGCCGCCTCGTCCGCTACATCGCCACTCTTGGAGGCAATTGCTAGCAGCAGCAGCAGTAGTAGTTGTAGTAACAGTAGTAGTAGCAGCAGCAGTTGCAACAACAGTAGCAATAGCAGTGGTATTAGCGGTAATAACAGTTCCCAAGTGAGTGGCAGCAGTGTGAGCCGTCAATTGGCCAGCAGTAGCAGTGGTARCARCAACAGCAACTGYAGTCGCCTGCAACAGTTGATATCGACGCCGCCAGTGGCATTGCGCGGTTTGTCGTCCTACTGCAACGGCGATTTGCAGCCGTCAGCACAACAACACCAGCCAACGCTAGGTCACCAACACGCGGCACAATCGGCAGCCGCTGTGCCCACATTGCCTCAATTACAGTTGCAATTGCAGCAGCCAACGCTGCATCAGCAGCAGCAGCAACAAGCGCCTTCGGTGTTGCAGCAACATTTGGGTCACCTCAATTTCGAAAGTGGAGCATCGAATGTGAGCGCTAGCAGTGGTAATAGCAGCAGTAGCAACAACAACAACTGTAGTAGCAGCAGCAGCAGCAACCTGCGAAGTAGCACAACAACGTTGCAGCGACACTTGGCCTCGCCAAGCAACATTCTCCAGGAAGCGTTCAGCAATAATTTGCACAGAATTTTAAAGCGTTCACATAGTTCCTCAACGTTGGCGTCCARCAACAATAATAATCCGAGCAGTAATTCTATTTCTTCTTCGCCAGCGTCGCCGCCGTCCTCTTCTGCGATCTCAAATTCCAATTTCGCCGGCACGCCCACTTCACTATTTGCCAGTATTTACGGTAGCAACAATAATAGTAGCAGTAACAGCAGCAGCAGCAGCGCTAACAACATCAACAATAGCAACCAACCTCACCACCACTTGAATAGCAGTATAATTGCCAGTCGTCTTTTCGGCAGCAACGGTAATAATAACAACAACAACCATCCCAACCAGCAGCTCAACAATCTGAATCAAAATAACCACAGCCACCTCCAACAACAACTCACAGCGCCAAGCAGYAGCAGCACAGCGGCCGCAGCGGCAGCCACATCAAGCGCTGCCGCYAGTGTCTCATCCACCCCGCAGCAGCAACACACTAACAATAGCAACAGCCACCAACATCGCCTGCCGCAACATAGCCAACATCGAGACCATCATTCCGCGCTCACCAATTCGATAACGAACCGCATCAACCAATCCATCAGGCGGCACTTGAATCAGCAGCAGCAACAGCAACAACATCACCACTTACAGCAATACAATCAGCAAGTGACAAATAATAACAACATAACAAATAATACAACAAATAACCACCGAATACAGCAACAGCCTATTCCTCAACACGCACGTTTCCCACAACAACAACAACAACAACAACAACAAAATAATCACAATTTACAACATCACTTGCAACAATCAAACCATCATCAACAACAACAACAGCATCATCACAACAGTGGCAGCAGCAGCAGCAACAACCAACAACTGCAACAGCACCATCATCATCAGCATCATCACCAGCAGAACCATCATCAAAACCAACAACAGCAACAACAATCTCCTCTGTGCCTAGTATTATTAGTTAAATGTCCGAATTCTAAGGAATTTTGTAACGCCGCCGCCGCCAACGCCGTCGCTGCAGCCGCACATTTCTGTGATAATAAAAGGTAACCAAAAACAAAAACAAACATATTTGTTCATGATAAAGCTAATGCAAGACAGTGTCTAGATAGGGAAAAACATGAGAATTTTGATAAAAAAAAGACAAAAAAAAAAAACAAAAAAAACGAAAAAACCAGTAAAAGGGTGTCAAACATTGAACTCGGTATGTGCAACAAATAGCTGCCGTTATTGCCTTCTTGCACATACCTACATACACTACATATATGTAGGTGTAATTCTATAGCGTCTCACCTCCATATCTTCCCCCCGCTTCACTCTTGCTCCCCCGCGCGCCCTCCTTTGTGCATATCATTTGCTCCAAAAGTTCATCGCATGCCCTAAATTTATTCGAGGCCGCTCCTAAACGCTTTGTTGCCCTTAGTGCTGCACAGTGGGTTGAGTCAGAGCAATAATGAACTGAATTACATAGACAAATTGGTTTATTTTTTTCTGTTGTTTGCACGTACATACATACATATGTATATTACTTAAAGAAAATAATATTTTCCGCACAAGAAATTCATTTTGAACGATCAGTTAATCTGGTTCGATCTTAAAGGTTTTTTTTCGGAGGTTACAAAAGTTTTTTGCATTTATCACATTTTGTAGCTGTYTAGACCCACTGTAACACTCAGTATACTCATCAACTCTTGGCACCGCCGCGAATATAAGATCAAAATCATTGAGTGAAACCTATTTTCGCTCGCTTGTTATTGTAGCTTCATATCATCATTACCAGCACCAGCAACAGCATAGTATTACAACAACAATATACAACAAATCAATTCTTTTACTTCTATGCAAGAGCRGATTTCCATATTGATTGACACACTTTGCCGCGCTGAGGGTGCTGGTAATGGTATATGTTGGTGTTGTTGTCATTACTGGTGGCATAAGGGTCAACTGACATGTTTAAAAAAAAAAAAAAGTAGTATAAGCACTGCCCGTTTGTGCACCACGGAACTGTATTTATGCGGAAAGATGGCGAAAGTGTTGAAGCAAGATAACCACAACACTTAGCGTCAACCTGATGCCTTTTAAACACGCACAGCTTGCCCAGTTTCATGTTGATTTTTTATTTATTTATTTTTTATTATTTTTTTTTCATGTTTTTATTAAATTATTTTCGAAATATTTTTAAATTTTTACTAAGCAATAGAAGTGTTCTGCACGTCTGTGTATTACCGTTGCCCAGCAGCTTTTTTCTCTTCTCCATACACATACCTCGTTCTTTCTTAATTGGGTTAATTTGACTTTCATTGAATTCCATAGCGAGCGAGTCCAACAGCGCCTTCTTTCATTTCATTTTTACGCTGCACGATTTTTATCTGTTGCTCTGCTTGTTGCTACTGATTAAATACTTTGGTGCTATTTCCATATTGCTTTCTTCTTGCGTATGCTGGGCACTTTTTTCTTTGTTTTTTCTTTTTCTTACAAAAGTACGTAAAGGTCTGCCTGTGGCTCAGTCATTATACTCGCATTATTTTCCGTTATTTTTTATTCGTTTCTTATTTTTTTTTACTGCTTTTGCAGGACACTCAATGGAGTCGAGGTTGTCAGTCGCCATGCTAARCGCTCCACCGTCGATAATTTGTGTCTAGAGATCCTCGCCCGTTTTTATTAAAAATGTTTGTGTKTCATTTTATAGTTTTGTATCCCAGCTGCGTTTCGTGTGTAATTTCAAGTATTTTCTTGCATGCGATAAATTAGTTAGCTCATCAAAGTAATTTAGTACACCAGCGTATTGCCGCTGCCCTGTTGCTATGTGCCTTCTACTTTTTTCGATTACTTTCGTACGCATGTACTTGGACTACTTTTTTGTTGTTGCGTTTTTTGTTTTTTACTCGTATTATTTCGTGTGGTTTTCAATACTGTTACTGCTCTGTTCGTGTGGGTGTCTGCGTCTAAACTCGCCGGGTTCACTGTTAGCCTCTGAGCACTCGTTAATTTTCTATTTTTATTATTAGTATTATGTTTTTTTATTTTTTTGAGGTCGCAGGTCAATTATATTCACCACACCCCAGCGTGTGCCACTTTTTCCGCATACAAATAACTGTTGCGCAAGTCCATGCCATTTGAAGCGCTTTGAGAATTTGTTTTCGTTTTATTTCACAGTAAATGAGTATTCTGCTCATATCCTTTCACAAAACAAACTGTGACTTCATTATTTGAAATTTTTAAGTTATGTTAAAAATACTGAATTTATTTTAAACAAAGAAAACAAATGTTTAACTCCAATATTTAACTGAGATTTTACGAAATACACTCAAATTTCGAGTATATACTTGAGTGAAAAATTCGGACACAATTCTGAAATACAAAATTTTCCGAAAATCCATATATAAAAAACTCAGAAGTTCAATAAAAGCTATTAAAGTGTTTTTGCAACTTTACAAAAATCACTTCACTCAATATAAAGCTAAAATATGTTTGAGATATATCAATAAATTATTTCACTCAAAATACATAAGCCAGAATAATTTTTGAGTAATATCAATAATTAATTTCGCTCAAAATAAATGAAAAATATTTTTGAGCAATATCAATAAGTCATTTCTCTCTTTACAATAATAATTTCACTCAAAATAAAAATAATTATTTTTGAGTAATATCAGTAAATTATTTCACTCGAAATAAAACAAACATATTATTAAGCAAAATATTAAAATATTTTTGAGTAAAACTGTAGTTACACACATTATATCGAAATAAACATGCGCCTTAGAAAACTAACACTCACTCGAGTGCTAATCATAGATGTACTCAAACTTTCAATTATTTTTCTTCCTCTTAAGATTGTGTGTTAGCAATATTTACTTGCTATTACATTATTGTTGCGAACAGCAAGTATTACCCAAACACCACGTTTTCTAAGTACCGGGTGTCCATATCGCGTTACGCAATTTTTTGTCAAACTTTCGACTTTTTTGAGTGCTGGTAAGATGTCTAGTACTTTTTCTTTATTTTAATTTTTTTTTTTTTTTGCGCACCCCGGAAGTTTTCTTGACCGCTGCTTTGTGCGAAAAAAGTAAAGAAATTGCGTAAAATATTTGGTTGCCACTCTCTTCCTTATCCTCTTCGCTTTCAACACAGATACGACCGCTTCCACTCATATCGAATTTCTTGAATTTTTCCAGATTTTTTTTTGTGGCATGTTTTCTCTTCTGTTATTTGACCTCGCACATATTTCCGTTTCGTCCAAGTTATGTGACAATTTTATCAACTCTTCCTTCGGGTTTCTTTCTTTGATATCAGCCGTCTTTGTTGGCCTTTCGTATGGCTTCTTCTCGTTAGTCGCTGAGTCAGTGTGGTTCGCTTAATTCTTCGCATGCTATTTTTAGTTGGCTTTCTGCAGCCACTTCCTGGCGCATAGTGGTGGGATCCTCCCTAAAAGTAAGCGGAAAATGGAATTTATTTCACACGAAAGCGAAATTGCGCAATTGGCTGGAAAACCTGAAGTCCGATTTGTTGTTAAGCGTATCGGCAGCGAAATTTTCGTAACGGTTAACTCAAGTGTGGAGACTTTTGCCTTTCCGCCTAAAAAAATCATGAAATGTCGAATTGACAGAAGTCAGTCAAAGTGTATCTGAACTGAGACTCTGATATATTTTTTTAAACACTAATTTTTTGCCTCACAAATGAGGATCTTCTCTAGTCAGAATCGTGAATCGTGAAATAAAATTTTTCTTTTTTCTTTCGCAAGCAGGAAGAAAAAATATTTAGCAACATATGTATGTATGTCTTATTCTGTTACAAAATATATATATATATATATAAATTTATTTATTAGTAATTATGATTTCCCGTAAACTGCGCACTTTCTGTAGAATTGAACAATAAATTCACACATACATATGTATATATTTTTCCACAAAAAAATGCTTATCAAAAGCTTGTCCGAAATTCGCCCTGAGCAAACATTTTAACGAATGTATGTATGCATGTGTGCGTTTATAATGTTCTTCCACATTTTACAAAAGGCCTTGACTCGGCTGGAGAGCCTTTAGAATATCACAAAGAACGTAAAATAATCGAGAAAAATAATAAAAAATAAATTCACAAATGTATGTGTGTGTGTACATTGGTAGATAGAAATTAAAAAAATATATATGAAATAGGTCATATGAGGCACCGCACCGTCAAGTCCGCATGCCGTCAAGGACACAGTCTGGCTGCCATGGGATCGACGCCCTATATTATACTTGTATGTTTGGCGCGCAGCGCGCACACACGCCGTTACACATGCCGCTGTGCAGTAAGTAATCACACGCGCATCATACATGCATTCGCCGAGAATCGCAGCGTCTAGCGTAAAAAAAARTACCGCAAATTTAAACAAGTACATAAATAAAAAAAACATCATATACACGAAAAATCACCGTGTGCAAATATACAAAATACGCGCTAAAAGCAACAAAATGCAATGGACGCGCATGCAAGCGGTAAATGCCGCGCGGGCGACGTAAAAGTATTGGCTTATAAATTCAGATATGTACTTTTATTGTAATTGATGTTTTTTTTTTTGCAATTTTCCTTAAATCGCTACACGCGCGGCGGCTAATATACGTCGCCGATTGCTCATTTGCTCAACGCGTTCGATTGAGTGCTRCGCTGCGCTTGCCGCCGCTACTCCAGCGCGCTGCTTAAGCAAGCGCTTTTGTATCGTTTTTGCAGAAATTTGCTTGCGAAACTGTAGCTGGCTTATCAGCGCTATAGTGGCCGCTACGACCGCGCCACCGACAACAACAATACCAATCAAAGCAACACATGCGCCAATTACATGCCAACAACCGCAAAAGTACATGCAAGCGCGCGGAGGCAGGCGGCCAGTCAGTCGATCACACATGCACTGAATCATCGCGGCGCGGCCTGAGAGCCAGTCGCCTTTGCCTTTGGAGGCCTTGAAAGCGAGCTTATAAATACTTTTGTGCTCGTGTACACACACACTTGAGCGCTTTCATACGCAAATGCTGGCGTGATTAAATTCATATATATACATATACAT